TAAACATGAGTCTATTTACATCAAGAAAATACTGAATGATATAAACCTAGACTTTTGAAAACCGGGTTAGCAAACAAATCAACTCATTCTGCTTCTTGTCCATTTAATCCAATGAAAAATCTTTCAAAGGCTCATTAAAAGCCTTTATCTGACGCCAGGCAGTAAGTTAGTGGTCCCAGTGGCATTTCACCGAGTCCAAATTTAAAATGACCCAAATTTTAGAACATTTATTCTGTCATTTGTTTGGAGGGGCGATTTAACGGAGGGTTATTTGCGTTACTGGTTTGAGGGGCTTATATTTGGAGGGGCTTATTTTCGGAATTTTACGATATACGATGAACGATCGTTTTTGAATCGGAGAAATACTACTGTCCGGCAACCAACGGGTGGGAGAGAACCCTGGGAACGAGGATTCCGCGCCCCGCTTAAAAATATGGCGGATGGGATTATATTGATCTGACGGCCCCGAGTGAAGATACGCTTGATTTTGTAAGTTTCCGTTTACAGCAAATACTGCAGCACTTGGTGCATTTTGTTGGCGGTTTGGATGGAGTACGCAATCTATAACAGACGTTAGGCCGTTTAGTGTAAGGGTGATTCTTTCGCTTGTGGAAGGAAGTGCATTTTGCTCGCTGAAAGCCAAAAAGACGAACGCTCTTGTCCACGTGTTCTTGCGATGGAAATATGGCGAGAATGCTGCTGGCTGCCTTCTTCCTCTCTCTCTGCTGTTTCCACTACCCGGCCGGCTCCGCGATGCCCCAGACGACGGCCCATAACCAAAAATTATCCTGTGCTCCTCCGAGGCTGGACCAGCCGTATTCTGAGGTCCTTCAAGGTCTCTTGCACTTCTTTCAGCAGCAGAGAGAGCAGACCTTGATGACGTTGTGCTATTGAGGCTTTCTGGGCCAGTCGCAGTCTGAGTCGGTTCACTTTCTCGCCTTTCCCCCGTATTATTTCTGGCTGTTAGCGAATCCTGTCCTATTTTAGTGTATTTGCTCGGTAGCTTGCATTAAACGCTAATCACATTCCCTGAGCACTCATCACCTTCCATGATCTTAACAAGAGGAGGCGACTCAGTAGCTTACCAGGTGACTTTCTACTTCTGACGGACGCGCAACACGAGGGGTGGTGGGGGGAAGATGAGTTTTGGGGTCCGTGGTCTGAGGTCTGAGTTTTCCAGGCCTGAGTTTACTAGACACCTCCATCAGACAGTAGTATTTCTCCGATTCAAAAACGATAGTTCATCGGATTCTTCGCCATTAATTCAAAATAAATACGACTCTCGTATATTTAAAATGCGATACTAATATATTTAAGGTAACTTTTATTTCATAACCAAGTAAAATGTCGGCTACTGTCAAGCTTTCATACGTCGTGCAGATGTATCAAGCCTTGTATATTTCGCCATGTAAAATGCATGCGTTACTTAATTCGCCATGTAAAATGCATGCGTTACTTAATTCGCCATGTAAAATGTATGCGTTACTTATTCCGCCATGTAAAATACTTGCGTTATTTTAATTCGCCATGTAAAATGTATGGGTTATTTTAATTCGCCATGTAAAATGTATCACTTAATTTTGACCCCCAAAAAGCGCCATAGTTGACATAGCGTGATTCTGTCGGTGTTCAATGTCAGGGCTTAAATCAGAGCGAGCGGTTTATTTTTCAGCAGATATTCTCTGTTTGTTAAGCCGTCCTGATAAGCCACAATAATGGCGAAACAGCTGTCGACGACTACAACCCCGCTTTGTTTAGGGTTCTTTCGGTGTCGTGTTGATGTCTTGCAAAGTTTATTTTCACGAAATTCGATCAGCTTCGCGGAATTCAATGTGTCTACTTTTCTGTACTTTGTATGAATTTGGCTGATCAGGTCTTCTTATAGGTCCTATTTTCTGCGGCAAATTCGTTTGCGGTCCTTTTGTAGTTCATGTCTAATTTAATGTACAGAGAGGACCATACAACCGATTGTTGGATCAACCTCCTCCGGCTCCCAATAATTACGATTGTAACCTCTAGTCTTTATAATTATATTATTTCTTTATGCAACAAGGCCTGTAATAAAGGGTTGAGAATCGAAAAACTTGCAAAGTGTAGGTATATGATACCAATGTTGAGATTTCGTTATTTTCAGGTTCTCCTTTTGCCAGGTTTTTATAGCATTGTTTTTTCCTGGTGTTTTTATTTTTATTTAAAAAAAGTAAAAATAATATTAACCCTCGGACATACAAGGGGGTGGATGCCACCCCCTTCCGAGGTTTTTCTCAGTTTTTTCCTAGAGGCCAAAACATCAGCACCTGGTGTTTTCAGTAGCTGTTCGTTCATCCCTTGCGCTCACTTTGAGTCGAGTTCAGTGATGGTCAGTTTATGTGGCTAAATGTAATTTAGGCAAAGTTAAATTGCAAGCCAATGCGGTCAGCGGTCTCCTCCTCAAGCGTACGTGATCTTTGGGGTGACCGCAGGGGCCTTTTGCTTATCTTGTGACTTACGTTGCATCTCTCCTCACGCTGGCATTTTTCAGCTGATCTTTGCGGATCTGTTGCTTAAGCGAATCGTTGCGGATTCTGAGGCGTTCAGGCTCCCGTTCAATCTTTAAGGTATCAGTTCCCAAGCTCATCTATTGGCGATGAGTTTAATTATGGTTACGAGATATAACGTCATAAGTAGGAGGTGATCAAGCCATTTTCGAGTGAAAGTACATGTTTTTTCAACTTTTTTTTGACAATAAAAGTAAATCTTGAGGCTAAAATTATTCAAAGTGCTTATTTTGTGTTATTTTTCTTCCCAGGCACAAAAAAAATCACCATTTCTCGCGGTTTTAACCTGATTTCTAATTCTTGGTAAAATCCAAGATGGCGGCCATTTTTGGTGACGTCACAGGCCCCCCAGCAGCGCCGCCACCCATAAAATATACCTCATCCTGTAGAGAATATCAAAGGCTTTCCACCGAAGGTAAAATCGTTTCGAAACACTGCAACATATCAAAAACTCTAGTGGGGGGTCCATCCACCCCACCCACTCGTACCACGGTGGGGGTATGAATTTGCATGTACGTCCGAGGGTTAATAACAAGAACGGTACTATCAGAAAACGATAAAAAAATATTACCTCCAGTAAAACACCGGTCAACTTTGCTTTGCTTTGCATTGTATAGAGTATTATGACCATTCTGTTTCCCGATATCAGCCTCACACACTGTTCATACGAAAAAACGTTAATCCGGGAAAGAGAGTCGCTCTCTCTGCGGAGTATTTTTTCCCAGTTTCTTTTTTTTAAGTAAGGAAAAAGTTGACACCTTTACTTAAGCTAACATCGTTCGCTCACGCTCTGCCTAGACGAACAGTTGGGCGAACCAGATTGTTTATATGAGGAAACGTTGACCCGGATAGGAGAGTGACCCTATTATCGAATTCATTCTCTCTTTTTGTCAACAGCAATAGTCTTTATTTGTACCAATCGGCAGCAACATGAGAAAACAAAGTATAATGAAAATCAGTACTATCTTCTTAAAATAACAAGTAACTGTCAAATAACGAACTTCAGGGAACGAATCGAAATAAAAGCTGTTGCTATCTTGCACGTCGATAAACGTCGATAAAATCACCTAAGCTAATTTATCCCTGTCTGAAGAAATTTTATCCGAGAACAGACTTTCATTTTTTCAGATTTCAAATCTCAGTCAATCCATGGGCCCCAATACCCATTTTCGAGCGCTAGTGTCTTTGCTTCTGGATCAGCGTCAACTTTCCCAGAAGGTACCTCGCCCGTCTTGTAATATGTGACTCGCCTTCTTAACGTCCTTACCAAAGCTGGGTACGTGCTTTTGAGGTCTTGACTTTCATATGGGTCAGCGGTGATATTGTAAAGCGCAACGCTAATTGTGCCACCAGATCTATGCGGATAACAAAGGAAGGCAGTTAGAAGATTAAAGAAAATATGTATATGAAGCAATGTGTCTTGCCATGTTACAACTAAACATTTAACTAAAACTGGATGATAAGATTTTAAATAGCAAATCGCAGCTCGTTAGTTTGTTTATAATTAATTTTGTAGGATTAAAAGAAGGAAAGTGGATATAACAGTTAATCAGCACGTCAGCACGGTATTGGTGACTTCGTGTATGCTTCAGAATTCGTGGATGGCAACAGTTCATTTAATTATGGACAATGCTTTGCAGTGGAAAAACCTCTATCCAGTGGATAACGCAACTGGTCTCGTACGGAATACCCAGTTGCGTGTGGGGGAGCGGGGGAAAGGGGTGACCGACCTGTAAAGCGGGCAGGGAGGCCCTTCGGGCAATTGGGATTAAACCCAGCATGGCCTTTAGCTTAATTTCACCCCTAGAAGATACCATTCTAGTAAATAGCAAAATGAGTGCCATAGCAATGTGACTGCCTCAAACAATGCAGAATTATTAGTGGTGGCTGTTGAGTTTTCTCTTAAAACCATAGATTAAAAGTTTGCGGACCTCTCTGAAAACCAACCTCCGATTAATTTCAAGCGTTTAATTGGTCTAAAAATATTTTTGGTGAAATACCCATCAGTCCCAAGGGCTGAGTAGACTGGGCGTTTCCCTCTCTGTTCCATCATGCTCTCTTGTTAATACCTTTTTCGTTTTCCTTGCTTCAGAGGACAGCTCTGGCGGTTTGTACCAGTCTTTATTGGTTACGTTTAACAACAGCTTCATGTGGCCCACACGAATTGCCGCAGTGTCTCCGTCAATATTGTGAAGAATCTCTGTTCTTTCTGATGCGGCTCCTTCCGAAATTGCGGACCATATGTTGTAGCCATCCAGCGCTGAACTATCAGAATCCTCTTCTATGCCTTACAAGGAACAAGAAGCAAGGTTAATAGCGTTTTGGTTTTCTACTAATTTAAAATGGACAATTAACAACTCTTACAGAGCACTTCAGTGATCTAAAGGAGTGACGTGATCTAAGTATTTGTAACAATCAATGGGGGCAAACCTGCAAGATAGAGGAGGGTTGGGTACCAGTCAGTCACGTGACTCCAGTCCTCTGCAGCATATTTCCATGAACAAAAGCCACTCCTCTGACCCCTCCCTCCCAGAGGCTTCCTTTTTCACCACGAAGAGGCCAGTTGTAACCACCATCATCAGGTGCCCCGCCATTATCAGTAGTCACAATCAACAAAGTGTTGTCCCATAAACTAAACAGAAAGTAAAGCAAAACGAATAATCTAAGTGACACATAAAAAGGTACAACTAACCCGGCGAACACAAAAGGAGCTAAGAATGGATATTCTTGAATATTAACGGACTGCAATTGTGGATTTTGGAAACTTGATAGCATATCAGATTTTCAAAGTTCATTTTTGTTGTTTGTAACGTTTCATATAATACTTGGGATAAATATTTGTTTGACACGAAGCGGCGATTTAGTCATTTACAAGTTATTTCTCAAGCATTGGCTTAAGCTCAATATTTTAAGCCCTAGAAGCGACCATACTAGAACAGGCAATCAAATAAGCGCTATAGTGATTTTAATTCCGCTAATCGATATGCATTCATTTACCACAAATGAACGAAGAGCAGCGATTTAAAAAAATTTAATTGAATTTAAACTACAAATTTAAATAATTTTGATTGTAGCTTTTTCTGGGGAGCAGAATTTAAAGCTGGACTATTCCCGTTTTTTGAGAAAAGGCCGGTGAAGTATTCTATTTATCCTGTTCGCGGCGTAAAAAGGCTCTATAGTTTTCTTATAATACAAACTTGCAAGGTCACCTATACGATGTTCATTAATTATGACTGAAACCATTTATTTCGTTCAAAACGGACTTGCGAGCCATAACCAATGAAAACCAAGTTCCCTTGCACTACGCGAAGGCGACACACCCGATCGCTTGCTTTTTCAGGCGACTCACCCAAAAGAGCACGTGCAGACAGAACATTGGTCATTGTTTTGAATCCGAAGAATAAGTTCAATTGCGAATTGTACAGAGTTTAGTTGAAATACAATTTTACCAGTCCCCAAACAAAAGAAAAATATATTTGGCAAGACGTTTTCCAAAACTATTTTTCAAGCTTGCTAAGCCGTCTCGTTCTTTACAGAAAGATTCATTTAATGTACAAGTTTTACAAAGTCTTCTTGCACTAAGCGAAGGCGACTCACCCGATCGCTCGCTTTTAATCAGGCGACACACCCAACATAAAAAGCACGTACAAAATACCCTGAACCATGTACATTTTATGAATCTGTTTTTCGGTGAATTAAAGCTCTCTGTTCGTGAAAAATAATAGAGACCGTTCGTACAATGGTGTTTTTTTGAAAAACAAATAGGGGAAACTGCGATGGATGCAACCAATCAACTCAAATTCATTTCGATTCCCCTGTAAAAATTATAGAAAAGAAAAAGAAAGCTGCTAAGATTCAGAGACTTACAAATAACGAGCAACACTCAACCCCCTCTCTGTGAAGTACATTTAGGACGGTAGGGGTATAACCCTCATGTAACAACTTTTGATTTTGATCAACCATGAAATGAGCGACTAAAACGCGTTAAAAATAAGACACACTCGTGTTTCCCATACTTCGAATAGCCCTTATTTATGGTTTTGCTGCACAATTTGCTACCAGTGGGAGTCAGTTGGCCTATCTGATATACTAGGAAAACTATTATTTTCATAGGTAGAGAAAGCATGCAACAATGCAAACGCAGTAATTACTGGCTTGTTGTGCTAAGATCGAGTATTTTAACTATTATTTCTTATAGACTATAAGATAATTTTCGCATTAATTCAAACAAAGATCTGAGCATGTAGCGACAACTATAAATCGCACTGGATCATGTTGTAGCATTTAAACGTCGGCAACAAGCAAAACAGTTGTAAAAAGATTAAATATATAGCAATTTGGCCGCTACGTGTGTACTTGTGTTATGAAACACGGATGTCTATAATTTTCAACACATTCCATTGTTTATCAAGAAAATGTAGCACAAAATTGATAACGCTTTTCGACTTCTTTATAAGGGTACTTTTTGTAACACAAAATTGCTTCCAGTTGAAGGTGTGCTGGACCTGTTTCTCCCTAAACACTGTGCGATCACTCCCGAGCGCGCTACATTAAATTTGGCGGGCATTTAGGAGGTTTTTGCGCGGATATGTTCGAGGCAGAAATAAATAATTAAATTAAAGGAAAAAATTCGAACACTGTCCTTACCTTCAAGGAGTCTTACGATTAAGCAAGTCATAAAAAAAGCAGAATTAATGTGTCGCAAGGTAAACCTACTGATCTAAGGCTGAATTGGCCTCCCTTTTGAACCAATGTGACGAAGGAAGGCTGGCCATGTCAGTTTGAACTCTCCTAACCTGTCCGATCTGTTAAAATTTTCTTTCAAATACCAACAGCTTCTAAGGGAAAGGATTTTGAATCAACACAGAAATTCTCGACCGCGATACGGTGAAGAAGAATTCAATTCACATATACTCCATACAATGATGGCTTGATCGGGATGATCTGATTCGGAGGATAGTTGCAAAGACCGCACTCGACTATATTTACCCCGGCTACTACTATTTTAACCATATTAACAGACGGTTGCGAAATTTAAGATTGTTTCATCGCCTCTGTGAAAATCACTATCGATGACAGCCAGTCTGTCCCCTGCTAACATGCACGAGATCGAAGGTAAAATTGTAACAGGAAATTGAGCATAGCAACCGTCAATCAAGGGACTTAAGGGACTTTATGCGGCTCCTCATGGGAGTTCAACACAGCTTGGTCACTTTTGCCTCAAGGACAAATTTAACGAACACAGACGTCCAGTCGACAAAACTAACGTTAAATCTAAACCCACTGATGTTTCTGAACACCTTCTCTCTCACTCTGACCATTCTCACACTGACATGCAGTTAGTCTCATTAGGAAAATTCATTCTTCACGTGACTCGGTCTCGTGACTCTTGAACCTAATGGCCTAAACTGCCGTGACGAATCATTGTAATCCATATCCTTATTAGTTTTTCTTTTCTTTCTATGTTGTACTTCATTTCCACCTCTCCCTTTTCAAGAATGGTTATTGCGACATTTCTATCTATATACTGAATATCATAAATTCAGTAACATCTCGTGCAAATTTACTTCAGTGAAGGGTTTATCCTCTAATCGACGAGTATTTCGCGTGACTTCGGCAAGATTTTAAGACAATGTATGGAGAAATGGAGCGTACAACGAGAGATAAAAGTGGCCACTTCGGGAAGTAAGTAAACCTACTTCTAATTAGCTATTTTTAACCCAGATGCGAAGGTTACACAGCACTTAACATGTTTCGAGTCGGGCACCGAACACCCGTGAGCTCATAATCGATATATCTGAACAAGTTTCCTTATCTCCATACATTTTCTAATACGAATTCGCAGCCATTGTGGCCTTAGTGCGCACGCGCAACCGCCATCTTGTCCCTAATTTCTGGCAATGATATCTTAACACCGGCTATCGTGAACGTTTCATGGCAGTAACAGGGTAGTCTCTTCCGAGGAGAGGTCCAGGCACATCTACTTTATGGAAGATAATTTATTGCATGCAATGTCTAAGTTAGGATATATGTAGTTTCGTGTTCTCACTAAAGTTGTCTGTATATTCTAAGTAACAGTGCAAACAGCGAAAATAGACTTATCAGATATAAATGCGTCAAATGGTCGCTTGCCAGAGTTTAAAAACAATGGCAAATTATTAACTGTCAGGCCCAAAGGAGGTGGTCGTTTACCAGAGGTTCAAACTGTAAGGCTTTAACGGGAAAAATTTTGGTGTTTTGGATTGGCGGTCGCTTAATTATCGGAGGTGATCGCTTACGAGAAGTGGTCGCACATGAAGTTTCGACTGTACTCGAAGCGGAAAACGGTCAAAGTCAACTTTGAGACAAGGGAAAGTCAAATGACGTTCCTTTTGAGTTCTATTATCCGTCACCATTAGTCATCATCAGTTTACCTTCACCTACATTTCATTGTATGTCTACCTGCCTCCCTTACTTCTCTGCACTAGTTGTGCGGGAGGCACATGAAGCGAAACATCGGCTCTACTATTAAACCTCAATTACTGTAGTAACTCATCATTAACTCAGCAGACAGCAGCATTCTGAGCAGGTCCTGCCATGCACTGTCCTTTTACTTCGGAAATTTCCGTGAAACGTGAGCGCGGGATTTTAATCCTCGTGATGCGCTATTTCCACACTTTAATGTCAGTGCAGATACGTGCGTAGGACCCCCTCCCGCCCCCATTTACCCACCTCTTTGTACACTGTTGTGTCCAAGAGTCTACTTCTGATATTTCACCCGTAAACAGGGGCACCCAAGGAGAATATAATTCAAAACCACTTAAACATAGCATAGTTCAACGTATTTTAGTATTTAAACGGTAGATATAGGCATATTTTTATCCCATAAAATTTTTTCATCTGTTCGGATTTCTTAGCTGAAAGTCCAGTGATCCAAAAATTATAGAGATCAAAACTTACCTTTTCGAAAATTTCAGCCAGAAAAAGGCTCCCGAAAATTCTAGGTGACCTTTTCAGGGTAAAAATCCGTTTAAAATGGGCAATTATAACATTTTTTAGATGTTCGAAAAGCCTAGGAGAAGCAGGCAAGCAAGAAATTTTACAAATGTTCCGAAAATTCTAGATCTCAAATCGTCTTCCTAACAGATATTTTCCAAAAATTGACGTTGGGTGCCCTTGAGTAAACTTGATGTGAGTAGGGTGGTAAGCATTGGCTTCCTCAATGAAGAGTTCTGTATCTTCTTTTTTTGTGTCCCATAAACAGAAGATGTCGTCCACAGTAAATCTTTTCCACACTGGCGGTTTCTCTTTGTTTTGCCATTTCTTTTCCTGTGATTAGCAGCATCATAGGTAAACCAACGAGAGGCACTTTGGATGTTTTGATCCGAAATTTGAAAAAAAAAAAACTAAATGCGAAGAATTTTTGCGTAAAATTTCACTTTGCGAGGTTGAAAACTTGCACTGTTTAAAGACATCGATGGAGAGAGAATATCAAAATAATGCTCACTGTTTGCCTTTCCATTTGTCTTCGATCCTTCGAAGAATCTGATCATGTTGCGCTCGTTTTGCGAGTCGTGAAATTTAACCGTGAATTTCAGGTACACTTTGTACCTTATGGTTAAGAAAATTGCGTTTTTAATATGAATTTTCTTATACATGTTCTGCACACGTTTTCAGAAGGTTTAGTGCTGATTTTTAATTGCCACGTTTTCGACTTAGCCGGAGTCATGTTTTCGCGTGTCAGTACGGATCGATGATCGAATTGTGATGCGAATTTAAAAGGATAAATACATCGCCGGTTCCATAATTAAATAAAAATTTTCAAGAATAATTTTTCTGCCTATTGTTTTGTGTTAAATCATCTATAACACAAGCTTAAAACACGATAGCATCTGAGTTGGCTTGCATTTTAATTTCATCAAATGGCTTCCCAACAAATTTATGCAGAGTTTGAGCTGAATTACGAAATTCAGAAAGACGTTTTGTAGGTATACAGAACATACTTTTAAGTAAAAGTAACTTCTAACTTCTCAGTTTAAGATAATAATTTGCTTCTTAAGTAAGATGCCCACCTCTCAAACATTTCAAACTAATCAAAAACATCTTAAAACTTCTTTAAGATCACTTTAACATGTTACTCCTCTTAAATGATATGTTACAAACTTAAGGTAAGACGGGTTTTTCTTAAACGAAGACGCCAAACAAAAATAGAGGCTATTATTTTACGACGTTTACTTTGTAAAATCTTACATCAAGACGGGAAACATGTTTTAGAAAAGTAAGAGATTACCCGTTTACAACTTACCGAGTAAATAATGTGCACAACTGACCGACAGAGCAAATGTTTACAACTGACCGATTAAATAATGTACACAACTGACCTTGTGGTGTGTACAAACGACAGGGTAAATGTTTACAACTGACCGAGTAAATAATGTACACAACTGACAGAGTAGTGTGTACAACCGACAGCGTTGAATTTTTTTTTTTTTTTTTTTTTTAATTAAAAAGCAGGTTAAGAGGAGAGAAGCGGTCTGTTACGCCGCAAAATGTAATAATCGTCGCAAAATGTAATATTAACGCAAAATGTAATAAGAATCGCCGCAAAATGTAATACTAACGCAAAATGTAATAAAATTGACGCAAAATGTAATAAAATTTTCAACGCAAAATGTAATAATCTTTCAACGCAAATTGTAATAACTTTTATAATGCATAATGTAATAACGCAAAATGTAATAATTTCCGAAATAACAACGTGCATGCTATTTCAAAATCGGTATTGTTGCTCAGTAATCAGTAGCTGATCCAGATCTTCATGTGAATTATTATTATTATTATCAATATTGATATTAATAATAGTAATAATATTTATTTTCTTCTTCTTCTTATTATTATTATTATTATTATTATTATTACTATTAATGAAATAACGGTTGAAACGTCGTGTTAATTCCGTGCTGAGCTAGTCTCTCTCGATCGCAGCCGTGTTTTGTCTCGTCCCCAACAAAGGAGGAGGAGCATTGCGTGACGAGACAAAAATGGCTGCTAGAGCTTACTGTACTGTACCACAACTGTAGCAACTGAGAGACTTGGTTTAATTTCAGATGTTGAATTTAATTCAGTCAAATAAAATAAATGAAAATAAATAAAATATGTGAATGTTAACTTTTAACGTCGTCCTGGGGTACCAGGGCCTCCTATTCCGATTTGATTTGTGATTTTGTTTTTTAGGTTTTTTTTTTCAATCCGACCGACCGACTCAATATCAGGAAACGCATTCGACGCTAAACGAAACCTTGAATTTGCTCAGCAACGCAATCGCCATTGGCTTAGAGTTGACGGCGCCAAATCTTGAACTGGGAGATCCATACAAAGTGCGCAATTTCCTCTTTTTAGGGGCGACCATTTTCGACCACTTGAGGGGGGAGGGTGTATGGATAATTTGGTTTGGGTTAGAATTTTTGAATAATTATGGGAAACTGTTTACATAACCCTCCCCTAAGCCAACATTAACACTTATTTCTCACTTAGGGCGAAATGTTGGCTGAGGGGACGGCTAGGTGGGCACTGTATTGGGACCTGTATTACGTTCAAATCAGCGGAAACAAACGTCTCATTCGGTTCCCTAATAATAATAATAATAATAATAATAATAATTAATATTAATAATAATATTAATATTATTAATAATGTTAATATTAATATCTATAATAATAATAGCTTATAATTTAATTGAAGATCTGAATTCACTACTACCGCTGACTGAGCAACAATACCGATTTTGAAACAGCATGCACGTCGTTATTCGGAAATTATTACATTTTGCGTTATTACATTATGCGTTAGAAAAGTTATTACAATTTGTGTTGAAAGATTATTGCATTCTGCGTTGAAAATTTTATTACATTTTGCGTTAGTATTACATTTTGCGGCGATTCCTATTACATTTTGCGTTAATATTACATTTTGCGGCGTAACACGGTCTCTTTCTGAAAGTGAAATATGAAGACTAGACGCATGGATAAGCAATAACAAATGATGTTGAATAAGGGATGAAAGATAAACAAAGAATACATGCAATGATATGATATGATATAAAAAAAAAAAATCATTTTGAAAACGGCGCTGACCATAATAATAATATGAGGTCCGGTTTCCTTGATTTAATATTAATGCCCGTTCAGTTCAACTCAATCGGCCCTCCAGGGTCAAGGTCAAGGTTGGTTTTGAAACGTGATGTTATAGCCTGTTCCAGACCCTCAGATTGTAAGGACGGAGCAAATATATAAGCAGGAAAAAAAACACGGGACTCCCTCTCTGCCTCCCTATTTTTTCCCTCTCTCCCATTTTGCGCGGCACTCGACTATCTGAACGCCTGGAACGCCATAAACAAATTTTAGGGCTCAGCGAAGCAGAAACGGACCAATACTGTAGATTTATGAGTGTTATGTTTGCAATGAATCGACAAAAGTTCGATGAACTTGATCAAAGATACAGTAATATACATGCATGTAACCTGGTAACCGACAGTCTGGAACAGGCTACGTGATGTTACAACTTGACTCCGTATCAAGCTCATCACCCTCGATCGTCTCCGGAGAACAAGCCCCGCGGAAGGAGTAGAATTCATCCTAGGTTGAGTGGCGTAGGAGCAAGAATCATGTGTATATTTTATTATGTTCATCCTCCTTTATAACTGAGATTTCGGCTCTCCTGCCCTTTCGAACAAATACAGCTTTCGAACAAAAAGCTTCAAATAATCCTTAATAAGCTGGAATCTTTCTGTGAAAATGCCGATTTAAGTGTAAATTTAGACAAGACAAAAATTATGATTAACTATGAAGTTATTTGATGCACTGATATCTCCCATACTCTTTTATGCGAGTGAAGTGTGGGGGATTGATTGCAATGGACAATTAGAAAAGGATCCAGCAGAATTAGTTCAAAATAAATTCCCAAAGTGGTTGCTGGGAGTTAATAAATACTGCAATAACAATGCGTGCAGGGCTGAGACAGGAAGGTTCCCAATGAGAATTGAAGCCCAATGTAGGAACTTAAGTTCTCGTTAACCTTAACCAAAAATAATAACAAATTATCCCAAATAGCATACAATGACATTAAATGGAATGAAAATAAAGCTCCCTGGAGCAAAAAAAAAAGCTTATTGGAACAGATGGGATTAGGAGAACTCTGGATGAAAGCACAGTACATGAGGGTCTCAATGGGGTGGTGGCTTTTACGGTTATCGGCTAAAATTTTGGCTCTTTTACGGCTATCGGTTAATTTTTTTCAGTTACGGTTAACGAAAAAGTTAAAAATTAAGTTCTTTTGTTTCAAAAAGTTAAATATTAATTTACCTGTATTTTTTTGTATCTTTAAATCAAAATAAAGGTCTTCGGATCATCTCCGCGCGGCTGATACCTTTCGGGTCATGAGGTCCGAGCGAGTTCGCCACTGAAATGCTTTGACCGAGATTGCGAGGGAAGCCGCCGAACAGGGACTAGGCATGTCAATGTCTACCGTAGCGTCCGAGAAAAACAGGGAAATGTTGTTTATCGGCAACGTGTTTTACAAACAGTGACATCTCTGGGTGTTGTTTCACTAGTGTTTTGAGGGCATGGCCTCCTGAAAATTGCAAACATTAATCCCCAGCAAGAAGCCACACTTTCGCTATGGAAAAAATTAGTTCCCCAAGAAAGCGCCGGAAATGGAGCCTATAGGTCTTGGTTAACACCTAAAAGGCGCTTCGCCTAACGTGCGTACGGAGTCACACTAGCCGGGAATTAAAAAACCAACCATAAGCGAGTTTATTACCTTCCTTAAAAGTAGCAAATCTAGGGAACACTTTCTTCTACGGTTAACTCTTTTTTACGCTATTTACGGCTAACGGTTAATTTTTTTTAATTTTTACGGCTATCGGCTAAATTTTTGGCCGTTTTACGCCTATCGATTAACCCCATTGAGACCCTCCTACATCAGGTCACCAATCAATACGCGACACAGAATAGCTCTAACAAAACTGCGACTTAGTAACCACAAATTAGTCGTAGAGACAGGACGTTATTCGAGACCGTTTAAGAAACCAGCAGAAAGAATTTGCCCAATTTGTAAAATAGAAATGGAGGACGAATACCATTTTATAAATATATGCCCTGGTTACTGGGAAAAAACATGTTCGTTACCAGGTTATTTGGAAAAAGAATACAGAATAAAAATAAGCAGAATGTCACCTAACAAAATATTCATGTTTCTAAAAAAAACCCCTAGCGGAAATGCTAAAATACAAAAGTTAATGGCAAAACATACATTCAAATGCTTTGAAAAGAGGAAAGGGGAAGACGGTAAAAAGTAGATACTCTAGGACTTAATTAATTAATAACTTATTAGCCATATATGGTTAGGAATTTTTTGTTGTTTGTAATTTTAGTTATTTGGAAATAGTTGATATACTACTTATTGTATAACACCCCAAATAAAGAAAATATGTATGTATGTGTATGTGTGTTTGTGTGTGTGTGTATGGCTGTGTATGGCTATGTAGGGCTATGTAGGGCTATGTATGGTTATGTAGGGCTATGTAGGGCTATATATGGCTGTGTATGTGTGTACCTGTGTGGGTAAAAAATATTTGCTTTTAATGAAAGGCTTCCAAAGTAAGACCAACATTTAGCGATTTACACCCCCTAAAAGGAGTAACAAGTAAAGGGCTCCCCTGGGGATTAATATCGTATTTCCTTTTGTTTCTCCCCCGGAATTTACTTATAATCCCTGCTTCCGTACCCCTAAGGACCTATTACGAATGGGTACTTCAAATTCTTATGGGTGCCCTAATGTAATTTTGATGTGAATTAAATAGATGTTTTATTTGACAGGTACAGATCTCTACTTAATATCTACTTACCCAGCTGTCTTCATGGCCTCTGTTATATTTCCTATTGCTTCATCAACATTTTCAACCAGTCCTGCATAGATTCTTCTGTCATCATCTGTAATGTTTTCGTACTTTTCCGTGTACTCGGTGGGAACTTGCAGAGGACTATGGACGCTTTGAAATGGTAGATATAAAAACAATGGTGTCGAGGCATTGTGGGATAGGATTACGCTCTGTGCTTGCTGCAAATAAAAAGCACTCGAAATTGACATCCATTTTACTGTCTTTGGGCCAGGTCACGCTAAAACGTAATCATATCTATTAAATTCAAAAAACAATGGTCGAGGCTTGTTATTCCAGACTTTTATGTATTGAAACTGTTTGCTGTCCTGTTCCTTAATGTTTTCCTCTCCTGACTAATCAACAATAATATCTTGTCAAATAAAGAATGATCCTGGCAGTTGTAAACGCAATTTATGCAATTGCGTAAGAGAAGCCTGAAAAAAATTCGGGACTTCAACGGGATTTGAACCCGTGACGTCGCGTTACCGAACACATGACCTGCTCCCATCATCAGTGGCCTCATAGCTTAGTTGGTTAGAGCGTCGCACTGGTATCGCTAGGTCACGAATACAAATCCCGTTAAAGTCGTGGATTTTTTTCGGGCTTTTCTAACGCAATTGCATAAATTGCGTTGACAACTGCGAGGACCATTCTTCACTTGTTTTTATTTTCGCAGCTCTCATATATGATTTATTTCATATACATTTGTCACCGAAAAAAATGATAGTCGACAGTCAAGATCCAGAAGATTTTTTTGCGGTAAAAAGTACTACAGATCTTTTCTCCGTATGATCAGGTAGGTGAAATAGCTAAACGAAAAAAAAAAATAAAAATAAGAATCTATTCTTATTCCAAACCTCAGCGTAAAGATACGTAGAATAAACTCCGTTCTTATCTTCTACAGGCGTTCCGTCATCATGTAGATCAAGAATTCCGCCTAGCTCGTGTGTGTAATGATCTCCAGCGCCAAGGTATATGCCATAAAATGAATCGAAGCCACGGTATAGTGGAGTGTATGACCAGCTACAGAATCCCAGATGCCACTTTCCTATCATATGTGTAGAGTATCCTGATGTGAAATAAAAATGAGTGCATTTTAAAGCTATTGAAATATAGTTTTTAGTGGCGCCCCAAGACACTACATCTGGGGTTGCAGAACCTGCTACAGGAACCCTCAGCTAAAAATGTTTTTGAAGACCCTTCAGTCCCCATGTAAAATTGAATCTTACAAACAAGTATCTACAAACAATCCTACAAACAAGAAATGGGATCCTTTGGTCCCACTCTTCAATGGTAATTGTTAGTTTAATTGGCAAATGTATATTTGTTCCAAGTTACCACCTCTAGAGACGGCTTCCTTGTAGTTGTGTACTGCTTATTACCGAAGGCTTTTGGAAAAGAAGATTGTGATCAATTAACAGCTTTGAACTTTAAGAACATTTCTTTTTGTCTTATTTATTCTGCTCTTTTCTTGTATTTACTTGGTAATGTAACTAGTGTAATTAGAGTAATTAGTCTACTACTGTTGTTAATTGGTTAATTGCATTGTACTGTTTGTGGAGTTATTAATAAAGATTAAATTTATATAAAAAAAAGAAAGAAAGAAAGCGAAAACGGATTCTGGAATCTGAGAAATTTTTCATTGTGGAATCCGGAATCCTGGGCTTTGGAATCCGTAATACAGATCAAAGAATCCGGAGTGCTACTATAAAACGATTAGAATCGAGAATTCAAGTTCCACTGCAAAGACCGGAATCCATGCCAGTACCACATGGAATCCAGAATCCAAGACTGTATTGGATTCTCTTTCATGAGGTGACTTAGTGAAAATATCCTTAGACTTAAAGCATCGTCAAACGCGGCTGCTTCAAAATTAACGTTAAAATCAGTGATTGCCTGTGTCTTCATGCGTAAACATGGCCCCGGTTCGGAAAAGCATTACACAACTACGGAAACTTTGAAAGCCGTTTTCATCTTTTTAAACAATCTTCAGTTCTAACAAGTTTGAGAAATGTAACTTTAAAAAACCAGGCAAAGATTTATTTAAAACAAATTTTAATAATGTCTCAAAATGCAGCTTAAGTGAATCATTCCATTTCTCGACAGGTAGCGCAAAACATTTTTCCCTTATATTCGCATGTTATCCGTATGTAACCGTGTGGTGCTTAGTCAAGATCTCTGATTCAAGTACATGCTAGGAACGAACTGGTAACATACGAACATACGGATACATACAAGAATTATTATTATACATTGTACACATTATGTCTTCTCATTGACTAAGAGCTTACAGCTTTTTTTGAAAATCAGCGCAACCTACAGATTAATTAGTTATCTGCTAGCAGATAACTGACTAATTTCAATGACAATTATGTCAATTCAGGTTCCTTCGACAGTGTGTTTCTCGTTATTTTCTTCAAAGCAATGTATAATAAAACTATTATTAGATTCGGTTTTTGTGCGGATATCCTAAATAATCAGGGAATAATCTTGTGATATATCCTAAATAATCAAGGAATGACCTTGATTATTCCGGATAGCACAAAAACCTGATCCACTATTTTTTTTTTAGTCACGCTGCGCGCCCGTCAGATCATATACAAACCAAATTGCACTTCACCCAGTTCAATTCAATAACCATTAACTTGCAAAACGATTGATATCGATTAGATCTGGGGTGGTAGTCCTTCTTTCCTTGGGGCCACGGGCGAGCGAGAAAGTAAAATTGGACGTAGAGAGAGGAAAAAGTACTCTCCTTCTCACTCGTGCTGTCCATCTACTGCGAAATTAAAAAATAGAAATAAGAGACTGAACGCAGTCTGGATATCGATTTTCATTGATTGAGTACGCCAAGCATTTGGGAGCAAATGGAACTTGTTAGCACAAGGTTGTTGAAGTCAGTTTGTCCTTACCTGCTTCTTTGAGTTTCTGCGGTAAGATGGTGATGTTAAGTGGAAGTCCATATGGCTCCGTAGGGCCTATAACTCCGTTCTGTAAGCCTACAATCAATCAATATATTCGCTTTAAAACAGTGTTATAAAGTTAATGACCAAGCGTTAGGTCAAGAAGGCTGAGTATTGACCAAGTTCTTCTCGGGACCAAACTGAAGTTTTTTTTTACCCTGCGAGCAGAGGTTTCTCACTTGCATTCATGGCTTTTAGCGTTTACGATCTTTACGAAGTCGCTTTTAGAATGAAATGTCATCTGTCTCTTCGTCCCACCCAGCAATGGGCGGCAAGGCAAGAAAGACCAGGGGCACCCAACGAGAATATAATTTAAAACCACTTAAACATAGCATTGTTAAATGTATTTTAGTATTTAAACGGTAGATATAGGCATATTTTTATCCCCTAAAAATGTTTCATCGTTCGGATTTCCTAGCTGAAAGTCTAGTGATCCGAAAATTATAGGGATCAAAAGTTATCTTTTCGAAAATTTCAGCCAGAAGAAAGGCTCCCGAAAATTCTCGGTGACCTTTAAAGAGTAAAAAATCCGTTAAAAATGGGCAATTATACCATTTTTTAGATGCTGGAAAATCCTAGGAGAGGTAGGCAAGCAAGAAATTTTACAACAAATGTTCCGAAAATTCTAGATCTCAAATCGTCTTCCGAACAGATATTTTCCTAAAATTGTCGTAGGGTGCCCCTGAAAGACCAGAGACGTCGTCTCTTTCGCCTTGCCGCCCGTTGCGGGGGGGGGCGAAGAGAGAGATGACATTTAAGACTAAGTTCGTTTAACCAACTACGCGAATGACAAGCGACACGAACGCTAAAAGCCATGCCAGAGAGAAAACTCTGCTCGCCAGATAAAGTCTTTTTTACATTTTTTACTACTTTTTTTTTTACTTTCAGAGAAGACTAGCGAGCAGCGCGAAGCAAAGCGAGAATCAGTTGTAACTTCCCGGTCCACTCCAGTCAAACGTATTTTAAAACTGTCTGCATGTGAAGTAGCTTAAAGCTATTTAAACGATTTAAAAACTATTTTTACCACAATTTGAGGTATTTTTATTATATTTCACGACTAAAACCAAAATAGCGTTAGAAGCTTGAATTGTATTTGACACCTATTTGAATAATATTCATAACACTTTCCCAGGTTTTCCTTGTATTTGAAACATATTTGATATCAAAACTACATTTTAAATACAGTATTTAAACTATATTTTCGGAAAGAGAGTACTGGCGAGTAGCTAAACTTCCTTTTTTAAAGAACAACCTAAAATCAAAGATTTAAAAAGTAGTTTGTACAAGTGAAGTTCAAAATCAGGTTTTAATTAAGATGTTTACTTTGTTGAATATACTTCCTCGTCTACGACCTTAAACAGCTCATAAATAGCATAGTTATAATTAAAACATGTTTGAAGAAGGTTTAATAGGAAGTTCAATTTAAATTGTGATTTGAAATGACGAACACCTTGAAATCTCTCCAAACAGGATTAAAACCGGCTGTTTTTACAGTATTTTCACAAACTATCCTCATTTAAAAGGTATTTAAATGGAACCTGTTTCCAAACCTAACTTAAACAGGCTGTTTATAGGGTGTTTTGAAAAAAAACCCGCTGTCCTCAATGGTAAAAAATATACTTCAAAGGAAAAAAGTCAACCAAATTTATTTTCAAACAGATTTTAAATACTGTTTCCCGGGTATTTTGAAAAATTGATACCCGCAGTCACGGACTTTGCAAACAAAGTGCAATAGACATGCAGAAACAGTCTGCCAAAAGAAATAAGAACACGTCGTCTAGGCACAGCCCATTCTAGAAAGGCACTACTCTTATAGATAAGCCATCTCGACGGAAGTGTTTCGTCGTCAATCCAAAAGAAAATTGACGAGAATTCTCAGTTCTGGACACATCCGATTTCCATATAATCATGCGCGTACTTAATAAGTAACCAGTAAGTATAACCAGATACTCATAAGGGGTTGAAACGTGTAACTCTCATATGTTTGCTTTGTCCGATGCTCGTGATTATTCATTTTCGAAAGTACCATATTTGGAACGAGAAGAAGAGATAACTGACCAATCAAACTTCGTAAACAACGTGACGTAGTTTTACTTCATGTTCCCGCGCCCGCTTGAAAAAAATGGTCGACAAACGGGGGAAAAACTCCCGGAAGCCGAGAAAGCTTTCAAAGGTTGAAACCAGAAATCTTACCGAAACACTGAGCAGGATATTATTGCCTTACCACCCGGGCCTAACATAACATTATAAAACCCATTGACGTCCTCGCAACTTCATGAAGTTTTCACTTCAAAAAACGATGCTTCGTTGACCCTCTGCACAGCTGGAGTAAACTTATACTGCAAATAGGCATTTAAAATTCTTATATTAAGTCTAGAATAAACAGTAAAAAGTATTTTCGAATAAAATTCATTAGCTGAGGATCGAAAAGTGTCCAAAACCTGAACCTGACATCTTCGCAAAAAGTGATGCGTGTAATGAATGTGAGAATTAAATTCAGCTTGGATGTTGTAGTCACGATCGTGGTTTGAGCTAATTTTATGAATGAAAAAACTCAAAACAATAGACAGAGAAGCCGTTTCTTGAAATTTTTTTTTCAAAATCCAAAAAGTTAATCCTTTAAAGCAATTCAGAAAACACTATCTGGATCGTGGATCCGTTCACGAAAGCGAAATCGGCTGAGCACATGGCAAAATTTAACACCAAATCCATCTCAAACTGGGGCACATTTTGTAATTTTTCTTTAGCGCCGAAGAGAAAAATTTATAAAACGTCTATGAAACATTTAAAAATACATAAACTGCCTTTCAAAAACGTAATTGTCTTGGCCATAGAGTCCAAAATGTACCTGAAAATTCAGCAAAAACTTCACTGTCCTGGTTGCATTTCAAAACAGACCATGCGCTCCGTCGAGAAGAAAACAAGGTTGAATTCCTCGAAGGATGATTTCTTGATGAAAAGCTTCCCTTCCTTCACAAAAAGAAAGCTGAGCATTCTTTTGAACTTTCTCTTTCCATTTTTTGTCTTTTAACGGTGTATTTTTAACCTTGAAATGCAGACCTCTTGTCTTAAAACATCTGCATGGTCATCGCGCGGCAGCCATTTGTTGAAAATGGATATCTGTCACTAAGGTTTCCAAATATGGTAAAAGTGAATATTCACGAGCATTGAACGCGAGTTACACGTTTCAACCCCTTATGAGTTTCTGGTACGTATAACCCAGATGACAGTCGACCCAAAAAAAATTAGAAGGGTTTGTATGGAGTTTTCTAAGGATAACTGGGCTACGATCTCAGAGATAATTTGCCCCGAAATGCTCATTTTTGGCAAGTAGGCCTCTTGGACATTGTTCTTTCAGAATATCCTGACAAATCCCATAATTTCAGAAATTTCATTTTCATGACGTCACACTTTAGTACTCTATGACCTCCAAGACTCCAAGATCTGGCCCTCGATTGTACCATTTAATGATGTAAAGCCTGGTTCTCATTAGCCTGTGTACAGACGCCCCCCTCCCTTCATGTACCATATGTTTACAAACGATCTCGTGTTTTCTGATTTTCTGATTGACAGTTTTCTCGCCTAACGCGAGCACCTATCCCCTCGGGCGCCTCTTAACCAATAGGAATTTTCTGCACTCTCAGAAAGCAAGTATAAACGTGAAACAAGAGCCGAAAAAAAGCGTCTGCGCACCGCAGGCTAGGGCCTCTCGGGCAGGTGCTCTCTCTCCCCTCGCGTGTCTCCGTCGAGCGCCCCGTTCTTTCTTGCGCCCATTCCAAGCGAATCAAAATATACAATGTTTAGTTTTGGGGACTACTTATGATTACTACTACTATGATTACTTAATTATTTCATATATACTTCACATCATTTCACTCCTCACGGGAGATATGAACTCAATTGACCTCGCTCCCAATGTGTGGCTTCATAGCTTAGTTGGTAGAGCAACGCACCGGTAACGCGGAGGTCACGGGTTCGAATCCCGTTGAAGCCCTGAGTAACTCTTGTTTACCGTATTTACGGCTAACGGATAAAAATTTTCAATTTTTACGGCTATCGACTAAATTTTTGGCCGTTTTACGCCTATCGGTTAACCCCATTGAAACCCTCACAATTGTTTCCTGCCGGCTGTGTCACGCTATCTACTATCTTTTTTACAAAAAAAAAAAAAAAAGTTAAAGCTTCCCTTCACATCGATTGAATTCCTAAAGTTATGGTCTACATTGAAACTGTTTCGCAATTCCTGCCGTCTGTTGGAACAATTTGAAACCTTAAAGGCAATATAGTTTAGGATGATGGGGAAAGAAGCTGTTGTGTGAAGGGAAAGGGGGTTTTGGGCGTGAGAGAAACACCTGCCACGCAGGCTAGTTTGATCTGTGAACAGACTATCCTCAGCCACCAAGATACATCACTTTTAAATACCCCTACCCGGAAAAGAAATAATCCGTAAACCAGAGAAATGAGTTCAAGGATGGCAATGAAACTGTTGGAAAAAATCGCGAGTGCCCGGCGATGACAGTTCAACAATTAACAAGAAGCTATGCTAAGAAAGCCGTGCAAGTAATGGCAGTAATGCTAAATTTGCGCGAAGCGTTTTTACCTGTATGTATAGGGTACATTCCGGAAAGGAGAGCACCTCTGGATGGACAGCAAATTGGTTGTACATAGTAATTATCCAGTATTACGCCTTCAGAAGCAAGTTTGTCCATGTTTGGAGTGTTGATTTTTGAACCATGAAACCCAACATCACTCCATCCTAAATCGTCTAAGACTATCAGCAAAATATGTGGCGGATCACCATGAACTTTGAGCACCAACAACCAAAACGACGAAAACAGGAGAGCAAGGATCAGGAAATGATTGGACCGCATTTTGTAACCTCGCCGGCGCTCCTTGCTCTTCGAAGCGAAGTGTCAGTGAATGAGTATGGCGCGCTTTTTGTGGGGTTAGAGAAAGACTATCGGTTGAAATTTAAGTCTGTCACTTGTGTACATTACTCTGTCGGTTGTAAGTCTTGTAAACATTTACTCTGTCGATTGGTATATTACACTGTCAGCTGTACGCACTACTCTGTCAGTTGCAAACATTCACTCTGTCGCCAGGTTGAACGCCATCTGTCGGTTGTAAACATTTACTTTGTCGGTTGTACAAACTACTCTGTCAGGTATGTACATTATTTACTCGGTCAGATGTAAACATTTACTTTTCTCTAAACATTTCACTCTGTCGGTTGTGCGCACTACTCTGACGGTTCTAAAGTTGTACAGACTACAGCTGGAACTACTCTGTCAGTTGTGTACATTACTTACTCGGTCCGTTGTAAACATTTACTACTCTGTCGGTTGTACGCCCTGTCAGTTGTAAACATTTACTCTGTCGGTTGTATAAACTCTCTGTCAGTTGTGCACATTACGTACTCGGTCGGTTGTAAACATTTACTCGGATGTTAAAAATGGGTTTAGACAGACCAGCACGACTCCTGCTGTGCGCCCATTGTGTCTTTCAAAGCCTTTTTAAGGTTTTGCTTTAACAAGCATTATCTTTTAGCGATTTTCCAATTCTATAAGAGATGAAGGGAGGTTCCTTGAATATCTCTCTGGGCAACGGCTAGTTTTCTAATAAATGCCATTTGTTCATCATAAGTATGTTTTTCAAGTTTGATATAGTGAAGGTTGAAACTGTGTGACAAAGGGTAGATTCTTTTTGTGCAGCTGTTTTGTGCGTTCCCAATTTTTGTTTGAGAGCTTCCATCCTACCTTTTGTTTCGGGCAGCCTGTAGAGATAAGGCGTGTTTTGAATTTTCTAACGTTCTCCTCAAACGTAGCTTTTGAAGAGTTTGTCCTAAGAAGCCTGAGAGCTTCTCCTTTGATCCTTTGACAAAACCTTTTTTATAAACACACGCTGGGTGAGCTGTTGAAGTGTGTGCACTGAAATGTTTCAGTACAAGGCTTCGTACATGGAGGATTCTTTCTTTCTCGAATGGTTCTTCCTTTGTAGAGGGAGTGAAAGGGGTTATTGCGTGATACGGGATTAAGTGCTTTTAGTTTTCGTGAAAGGCGAAAATACGAAATTAAAATCCGCGAACTGTGAGTGGTTTGCTGGTCGTGATACGTGAACTGTAAAATTTTTTATGCGATATTCGTGATTTTCCACTAATTTTCTTCGTGAAAATAGAGTTTTAGCTGAAAACAAATTTTACAGTGAAGCCCGTGGACCTTCACATGAACGTTTTTGAAGGTCTGAAATGACTTACTTAAGCCGGTTATTTAAACGGAGTTTAGACAGTGTTTAACAAACCGTGTTCGGTTCTAAGCCATTTTCAATTGTTTAAACGCCTTTATCTTAACACCGGTTATCGTGAACGTTTCATGGCAGTAAGAAGGTAGACTGGAGAAACATCTATTTTCTTAAAATAACCCAGTTAGGAACGGATCAAGAGGCAAAATGATTTCTTAAACCATGATCTAAGTTGGGCTTCGTTTTAAGAATACCCGGCCGTTACAGTCGTTCCATATATGTCGTCCTAAACTATTACCTAGCCTGCGAGAGCAGACAACTTTCTCGGCTCTTGTTTAACCCGCCGAGAAGAGAGTGTCTGCGATGCCGAGCTGGGAGACGATTTCCGTGCGCTGGTGAGTTATTTTTATTATTATTAATAGAAATTTGTACCGCGCAGTTTCTATGAAAATATTCAACTGCGCCTTACATAGAAAATTGATTAAAGATGGAAAACTAAAACCTAAATTTACAATGCTAAAATTCCTAATTAAAAGCCTTACCAAATAAGAAAGTTATAAGTCTATTTTTAAACAGATTTAGACTGCAAATAGACCGCATCGTAGATGGAAGAAGGTTCCAAAGTCTGAGGGCGGCACAACTAAACGTTCTTACTTTTGGTGATGCTAATAAAATGTCATGATTGGCCTTAAATCCTACTTAGATGGGGCAGGACAGATATTAACTAACGTAAATAATCAGGCACCATATCGTGCAAAACGTTTAATTTTAAGGAGTAATATTTTGTCTTCAATACGGGAGCAAACAGGTATGGCACGACTTTGGGGCGCAATAAATTAAGCGAGCACTAGCATTCAGAACACGCTGCAATTTAGATAGCTGATATTTTGGCGAACCACACAATAGGCTATTACAGTAGTCTGCTCTACTAGAAACAAAGGCGTGAATCAGAGACTTAGCGCTGCTCCTGGATAAGTGGAGTTGGATAAGTTGGAGGTAAAGAGTGAATTCGAATACCCATTGACAGTAAGCCTTCACATCCCTTGAAGCTTTTGGGCGCCACATCATTGACTACGCTGGTTTGAAAGCTGAGTCCGAAAAGCGTGGTCTAGGATCATCGATTGAAATAAAACTCTGTCGGTTAGAAATTTCCGCAGAAGGGAGCAAAGCTATATGCAATAAACAACGACGATAATCAGGATGAAATGACTTTTCTACGATCGAGAAGTTACTATAGTCGAACCTCTCGTAGGCGACCACCAAAAATGCAAAGACTGAGTGGTCGCTTAGTGGAGGCTGTCTTTGACAAGAATTGAACGAGGGGTGGGGGGGGGAGGTCTCTTCCGAGGAGAGGTCCAGGCACTTATACTTTATTGCATGCAATGTCTAAGTTAGGATATGTGTAGTTCCATGTTCTCACTAAAGTTCTCTGTATATTCTAAGTAACATAGTGCATATAGCGAAAATAGACGGATCAGAGAATGCGTCAAGTGGTCGCTTACAAGAGTTTAAAAACAATGGAAAATTATTAACCGTCAGGCCCAAAGGAGATGGTCGTTTACCAGAGGTTTAAGCTGTAAGGCTTTGACGGACAAAATTTTGGTGTTTTGGATTGGCGGTCGCTTATCGGAGGTGATCGCTTACGAGAGGTGGTCGCACATGGAGTTTCGACTGTACTCGTAGCGGAAGAACGGTCAAAGTCAACTTTGAGAAAAGGGAAAGTCAAATGACGTTCCTTTTGAGTATTATTATCCGTCAGCATTAGTCATCATCAGTTTACCTTCACCTACATTTCATTGTATGTTTACCTGACTTCTGTAATTACTTCTCTGCACTAGTTGTGCAGGATCGAGGCACATAAAGCAAAACATCGGTTGTACTATTCGGAGGTAGAGGCGGAATCATTTGAATCTAGCTTGATATTCATGATTCCTGCCGTTTTTGCCTCAATGATTCATGATTCCTAGAAGAATTTTCTTCCAGATTCATTATTCACGAAGACTTTTGATCATCTATTGACTTAATGATTTTCTCACTGGCAACTTAGTCTCCTTTTGTATGGTTTCTTCGGCGTTCAAACTTCTACTTCATCCGGACTCGGTATCATCATTTGTTTGGTCTGGGTATAGAGTGTTTTTAATTTATACGTGTATTTGTTGAACTTTTCTCAGAGTCTCGTTATTCATGATCCCGAGCCGAAGTGCAAAGATTCATGATTCCCAAGTTTTTAAGACAAAGATTCCTGATTCTTACATGTTTTTTAAGACTAGTATGATTCATGATTCATGATTCTCCATCCCCGAGTACTATTAAACGTCAGTTACTGTAATAACTCATCATAAACTCTGTAGACAGCGGTATTCTGAACAGGTCTTGCCATGCACTGTCCTTTTACTTCGGAAATTTCCAAGAAGCGTGGGCGCGAAATTTTAATCCTCGTGATGAGTTATTTCTTCTTTTTAATGTTGGTGCAGATACGTGCGTAGGATCCCCCCCTCCTTTACCCTCCTCTTTGTACTTTTTGCCTTCAAAGTTCAACAATTATTTTTCTTTAAACAAACAAGTCCATAGCTATGCCACTAGACACGCGAACGATTTTCACCTTCCCTTTTGTAGAACAAACCTTCGTAAATTTTCTGTCAGTTTCCAAGGACCTACTTATTATAACTCTATAGGAAATGATATTAAAGAATCTAATTCTCTCCACCTATTCAAAACGAAATTGAAAAAAAAAATGTATATGAATTATTAGTTATAAATCTTGTAGTAAATAGTTATATTTCTTCACATGTCTGATATTATTTTTATACTTATTGTTACATGTTCCATACCTTATATTTTGTCAACTCAGTCTATGTAATTGGTTAATTTATACTTACCTTCATTGTATTTTACTTTCGATCCTGGCCTTACTGTTACTGTTAACTTTATTTTTACTCTGAGGGAGCCCAATGTCTATAAGCCTCGTGGTTTCTTTTTGGGCTTCCTCGCCACTTTCATTTGCTTTTGTGTAACTGTCTTGTTTTATCGTTATTTGTATTTTGTGGTAAATCAAATAAAGTTAAAGTTAAAGTTAAAGTACACTGTTGTGTTTCTATTTCTGATATTTCACCAGAAGACTTGATGTGAGTAGGATGGTAAGCATTGGCTTTTCTCAATAAAGAGTTCTATATCTTTTTTTTGTGTGTGTCCCATAAACAGAAGATGTCGGCAACAGTAAATCTTTTCCACACTGGCGGTTTCTCTTTGTTTTGCCATTTTCTTTTTTTGTGTGTGATTAGCAGCATCATAGGTAAACCAAATCAAATTTATGGCATAATTTGTCATTGCTTTGTTAGGGGCCTTATAAGCCTTTTCCGATGAATATATCAGTCATTAACAAAACCTTTTTTTGCTCCTATTAGTAATGGTAACAGGACTGAGTGGAGTCCAATTCGGTCTGTAATCATACGAGTGATTAACAAAATCGGAC